CAAAATTGTCCGTTTTACATAAGACGCGATGAACCAGATAAATCAACCACAATCATTGCATAAATATGACGTTATACTTGTAAAGGCCATGTTAGAATTGGATAGCTTACACAGGTGGCTTTGGTCCATCATTTACAACCTTGACCTTTCTTTCTCAATAGGAAATAAGTTGGAATCGTCAGGAATTTACTCACGCCACAGTTAGGTCATCGGTCTCGGGGAAGGCGAGTAGAAGCGTGTTCCTTTTAGATAACGATAACGGATTATAAAATGAAATGGGGTTTAACGTCCTACTGTTCGGCTCCGACTTGGCTAGAGAACTCGATAATGTATAGCATTATAAAATAAATTTAAATGAAATGAAACGGGGTTTAACGTCCTACTGTTCTGCTCCGACTGAGATATTGAAGACGGACATAAACGCCATACAGTGTGCTATATGTGGCAAATTTTGCCCGGACAGTGGCGCTTGACCTACTTTTATATCGCATTCCAACTGCCAAGGGATCTTTTATGTGCACCCACATTTGTACACGGGAACCAACCCGGAAAATTGCCACGAACTTTCTCGGCCAACACCGGAATCGAACACGGAACCTCACTGAACCGCATCGGCTCCTTTCAGAGAACGATATAATTGTATAGGATTATAAAAAAAACAATCAACCCCTTCCATTCTGCCTCGCTGTCAATTGTTTAACTATAATTTTCTATTCACTTACATGTACGCCATTAATTATACCTATTCACTAGGTCTGGCATTGAGTCAACTGGCGTGGTTTCGATTCTCTGCTTGTACGTGACAATGAGTAGGATTGCCTGTCCAACCTCATGGGTTTTTTCCGGGTCCCCCGGTTTCCTCCCACGGCTAAAGACCCCTACGCGCAAGCGAATTATTGAAATAAAATTGAAGCATATGCCAGTCCCGAAATGACCTAGTTTGTGTCGAGTGGACTTTACACCCTATTTCTCTCTCTCTACACGGGTCTCAGTTTTTCATCCCATCCAGCCCACTAGACGTTTTAAGGTCCATACAAGGGGAAACCAGAATAATCCTAAGGCCCTTTCTCACCCAAAACCTTACTCATCAACCACGCCCCATCCCCGCCCACTCTTTGACCCATTAAAAACAATCCCATCAAATTTTTATATTTTGTTTGTTTATACAAGGAATACGGTTGGTGAAAGTAATGGCGCCCCTTTAAAGTGAAAAATGGAGGTTTGACGTCTTACTTTTCTGGGCTAGCTAAGACGGAAATATGTCATACCCCTGTCCAGACGGCATTCCAATTACACCTATCAACTGTACACGCACTAATTCTTTTTCATATTGTTATACCACACAACTTTAAAATAAACTATTGTTAGTTACTGAAGTGCCAATGTCTCTTTAACGCTGACTATGTTGATTAATCTAGTTGAACATATGACGTGTGAACAGACCATTTCCTATATTTATATTATATGTTAAACAATAAACAACGTATTTTATATATCAATCATTCACGTCTTTACTCTTATTCAACTTATAAACGGGAGCCACGGTGAGTAAGGGGCTGGCTCGCTAGCCTGGAGGTCGGGTATTCGATCCCTGCATTAGCCGAGAAAGTTCATTAAGATTTTCCGGCGTGGTTCCCCCTTGTCAGTGATGCAGGACGGAGGTCCCGTGTACACATTGGCGTGCACGTAAAAGATCCCTTGGCAGTTGGAATTCGATATAAGAGTAGGTCGTAGCGCCGCTAGCCGGGCAACATTTCCCTCATAGCACACTGTATGGCGTATGCCCGTCTTCATCAGCCCAGGTTAGGAGCAGAACAGTAGGACGTTAAACCCCGTTTCATTTCATTTCATTCAACTTATAAACGATTTATAGCAGTACCGAAGTGCTGTTGTTCTAGCTTATTCCAACACTAACGACGATAACTCGGAATAAATATTTAAAATTGTACTTTTAATAAACGAGTGCCCAAAACTGGCTAACGGTCACAATAACGAGATAGGTATCGCTAGGGCGAGTCGGTCACCAGACTAAAGTTACAGTAGAATATAGAACATATATACAAGCTTAAGATTAAAATAATTATATAATAATATTTGATCAGAAATGTTAAATTGTACATAGGAAACAGATGTTTAAATACAGAAGAAAATATGGACATAGCAAGAACGCGTGTTATTTATAATTACGTAATATACACTTAAAAGACTTCAAAGATTAGCGAGATATCAATTCGGACATTGGTTAATTGCTATTTTGACTAAACTTAAATAGTAATAAAATATATACAAAGATACACTATAACAGTAGCAACCATCTTCTTGTGAGTAAACCTTGTCAGGTTTCTTTTCCAGAACCCCGAGGAGCCACGGTGGCTAAGTTGGTAAGACGCTGGCTCGGTAGCCTGGAGGTCGGGAGTTCGATCCCTGCATTGGCCGAGAAAGTTCGTCGGGATTATCCGGCGTAGTTTCTTCTTGTCAGTGGTGCAGGACGGACAGCTGTCTAGTTATTCGGATGAGACGCAAAACCGAGGTCCCGTGTATAAGGGAAATTTTGACAGCGGCACTACGACCTACTATTATATCAATTCCAACGGTCAAAGGGTCTTTCACGGGACGCCAATATGTGCACGGGACCTCTTTTTTTGTGCAATCCGAACAACTAGACAACAGTCCTTATCAGACCCTCCGTCCTACACCAATGACAAGGGGAAACCACGCCGGAAACTCCCGGCCAACACCGGGAGCGAATCATTCTGAACGCTTCCTCAGAAAATTTCACAATGTTTAAATGTTGATATAGCGCGATTTATTCTCAATGGGAGATTAAAGGTAGGTTCAAACACCTTTAGAAAGGTTAATTACAAACTTGTTCTTCAGCTGATACCTCAGACAGTTTTCACCTGGTAGTTGTTTCCGCAGGATCAAACAGTGTCGTAGAAAATAAACCACCTGCTAAAGATTCCTACACGTATTAAATGTTTACATATGACCTAGTACCATCCACTATTCTTATTTCATAATTAATCGCAGACTTGTAATAATGTCGAGATTGTTGGGGGTTATATTTGTAAAATGTGTGAATCTTACGATATGAGATTTGTAGCAGATATACCTTTATTGTGATTGTCAAAGCTCTATGATTCAAACTACCGACAGTTATGCCACACGTGCGTTAAAATCTATTCTATATTCAAGTTCTAAGATCCATGCGTTTAAACCAAGTACCTTATTTCACACGTGCGATAATTTATATTTGAGTTCTGCGACCCATGCGTTTAAATCCAAGTACCTTATTTCACACGTGCGATAAAATCTATTCTATATGGGTTCTACCACCCATGCGTTCAAAACTAAGCAAGTTATGCCACGTGCGTTTAAAACTAAGTAAATTATGCAAAGTTATTCGTTAAAAGATATGCTATGTGGGTTTTACTACCAATGCGTTTAAACTAATTAGTAAGTTATGCAAAGTTATGCGTTAAAATCTATTATGGGTTCTACCACTCATGCGTTTAAAACTAAGTAAGTTATGTCATGTGCTTTAACATATATGCATATATGAATTGGTTCTACCATCCATGCGTTTAAAACTAAGTAAGGTATGTCCCATGCGCGTTAAAATCTATATTCTATATGACCCATGCGTACACGGCTAAGTAAGCTATACAAAGTTATGCATTTAAATCTACTAGATATATATTTGAGTTCTACTATCCATGCGTTTAAAACTGTTTTATGTAATTTGTGTTGCGCGTGCGTCATAAACTATCAGAAGCAAGTTAAGAGTTATTCATTTATCCTATATGAGTTAGACAACACCTGCTTTAAAAACAAATGAGCCACGGTGGCTTTGTGGGTAAGACGTTGGCTCGCTAACCCGGAGGTTCCGTGTTAATCCCTGCGTTAGTCGAGAAAATGGTTCCGGTGTGGTTCCATCTTGTCAGTGGCGCAGGACTGAAGGTCTGGCAAAGGACAAGGTATAGTCGTTCGAATGGAACGAAAATCCGAGGCCTCGTATACACATTGGTCTGCACGTAAAAAAACCCTTGACAGTTGTAATTCGATACAAGAGTAGGCTACAGTACCGCTGACCGGACAAAATGTCCCACATAGCACACTGTATGTCGTATGCCCGTCTCCATTAGCCCAGTCGGTTCAGAACAGTAGGACGTTAAATCCCATTTTATTTCACATTAAAAACTATATCAATTATTTCGCAAATTTCTCATAATAAATAATAGATTTCCGTTTCCTTGTCTCAAAATGACCGAACTATTGTGCTGGCGAGACATCAAACTCCATTTCAATTTTCACCACGACTGTTCGTCTGTTGGCTACCTCTAGACCATTTGTCTCTTGAATTTTTATCAAAGCGCCTTTATTAATATAGTAGTATGTGCAGTAGTCTGGAGCAATTTTGGAATTCCAGACATTCCAAAGGTCTGACGTCACACATTCCTAAGGTCTGACGTCAGAGCATTCCACAGGTGTTCTATTTATAGTTTGAATATGGTTATTGTTGACTGAACAATGAGGTTATGAATAATAAAAAAGGTCTGCAGGTGTTATATTCTTTGATCGTGTTTGACTTTTGTAACGAGGGTATGGGGTCCTCGAATTGTTTATTGGAGGGTAGGGGGGGAAGATATTTCGCTTTATAGGCAGGTGTGCAGAGGTTACATTGAGTTCACGTCACGCGTAGTTATACCTGCATTCAGGGACAATGATCTCCGCTATTAAGCTTGACAGCTGAGCATGTTGTGATTGTTTATCAAAGGCTGTTTATATCCCACAAACCAACCACCCCCCCCCCCCCCACCCCGACCCCGCCCCTCCCACCACACCCCGTCCTAACCTAAAAAAACCCACTTCACAGGGCTACACTCTTCAATCCGTGTCGATACTAAGAAACCAACAACAGCCTTTTTTTTTTTTTTATAATATTTTATTTAGCCCTCGTGTTATATATATATATTTTTATAATGATGGCATGTTCCAGTCTGTTAGCTCCCTATAAGTGTCGAGAACGTTGATGATGTTCTTGAACGCAGGGTTCGTTCCCTCAACCATCCTCAACCGTGTCAGTATGTAGTCCGTAAAAGCTAACAATCTGCAGAAAAGAACAAATCAGATAGGTATTGGTAAAATAAAACATACCAAGTAGAAAAAAATCACCAAAAAACTTACGTTTCTTTTTCCTGCTCAGGTGATGGACTTATAGGGGTTATATATGGGTGGTGTGTCGCCAGTAAATTATTGGCGTCGAACAGAATACCCCTTAGTTGGATAGCTATAGCGGGTGTTCCAATAGCATTGAGACACGGCGCCAATGTACACAGCATTAGGTTAATTATGCTTTTCAAGTAAGCCTGAACCTGGTCAATACTGTACCTTAAACAACAAAAAATATAATATTATAATTTATATTAAAGATATTTTCAAAGTCAAAATATTAATAGGTTGGTTAATACCAATAAATGTATGCCAATTTTGGTGTGTATGGGTGTGTGTAGCTTGAAAAAGTAGAAACATTCGAGTATGATGAAAAGTACGGTGGACGGATGCCATGGAGGTACAGTGTGTGGTTCTCTTGCACTTACCATTAAGCATTACTTTCAACATAAAGTTCACGGTCTCTACGTATATGCATGGTAATATAGCATCTTAGGCTCCTAACCGGGTTAATATTTGTTGAATATGTTTGACAAATATGGTTGCTTAGATATGAACAGTTTTAAAAATAAGCAAAGCAGACGAAAGTCGTATATTAATCTCAATTGTTAGGAGAGCGATTTAGCTAATTTACGCGTGTCTTTAATTACGCACTACAAAGGTCACCCTACGAGGGTCGAGTGAAAAAGTAAACATGAAACGCTGTTTTAAAAGTAGGTTTCGAATCACAATTTTGAAGAAATAATAAAAAACTTACATTTTGAGACGGTCTTGGTTTTCTTTTTTTACAAAGTCGACGAGAGTTGATAATGCTTATTCGTTCAGAGGCGAGAATAATTTTCACAGACAAACGCTTGGTACTTATAAAGAAAAGTGAATACTTTTATGAGCAACTATAAATCGTAGGGAGGTCCGAGTTGTTCTAAGATATTCCTTTTAAAATATTATACATTAAAACTAGACAATACTCCGTTGTGAATAATTTTAAAATAAATATCTCCACTTAAAAATATTATTCATGAAAACTAGGCAAATGTTCATAAAGTTTAACATTAGGTTTTGGCTGTAAAGGAGGGTCAATTACGCGCCCTGTACTCAGACAACAGCTATAAACTGTCGGTGTTTTTATCAAGTACTAGACATAACCAATGACGCGAAATAATTGACAGAAAGCCGTGTGATGTCTGTCGGCGATCGAGTCGTTGAAACACCCCCCCCCTACTGACAGCGAGTGGTTTAAAAGACCAACCGTCTAGCTACTTGTCAAAGCAGGTGTCAGTGGCTGGCTGTTTACCTCTAGCCGCGAAGCATGCTACATTGAGTGTGTATATCTCGTAAGACCTTGTCTTTTAGTATACGCCTAGCAATTACTGGGACAAATTCGGAAAATAAGGTCAGTTTTTTTCCTTTAAATATACATTGTTTAAGATTAAGATAATTATTATTATTTTTATTATTCACTCTTTTCGAATTGTTTGGGGTCTCTGAGTACAAGATCTTGTACATATATTTTGTTTTTTATGTAGAATTGTTCAAAGTGTAGATTATAGCCAGGGTTAAAAATTCAGACAATTTCGACAGTTTTATCAAGAAAGTTGTGTTTGAAAAGTAAAATATTATTGTATCCGTAAATCGCAAAACCGGGTGTTGTTAGGGTATCACTCGATGTGAAGATTATTAGACCGGTTGTCAAACCTCACCCCCGATGTTTACATTCACGAGGATTACATTAACGATAGATTATTATTTATTAGCGATAGTATTACATTAATAATAAACGATTGGTCGTTTCTTAAATTAAATTCTTAACAGGTTACGGTGTTAGTTTTGTAAGAGTTTTTGATTGTGAAATTTGAATGTATATAATGTAAGTGTTAGATCTTATGAAGCCGGGCCGTTTTTGCTAGATTCTATAAAGTGAGTCTGAAATATATCTCACAATTCACTTGGCGCATCTATTATTAGAAACAAAATAGATCCGAGGAGAATGAAGCGTGAATCACGATGGAGAATTAAGAAGATTGTGAGAAGCCATACGGCTGATTCATGACGAGAGAAAATTACCATTTCAATTAAAACCTTTACAAACAAAATTTTAGAGAGGGTCATTGTAGACTAGCGAGATGTTTTGATAGATTCAGTACGTGGTAACTTAAAAGACTGGATAATCCAGACAATGACAGGCTTTCCATCAAATTTTGAGGAACCATCCAGACTAATATTCGTAGAATATTTGTTTGGATGATAGAGACAGCTTTACCGATCGTTCAACATGTAAGGGGAGGTAACTACATTCAACATGTAAGGGGAGGTAACTACATTCAACATGTAACAAACCTTGGAATCACACCGGCTATTATGAATTATCTTCAAATTGACATTTTTTCTAAGTTTGACTCTCTCGGTTCCTTGACCCATCAATCATTATGCAATGAGTTAGTAATACTTACCGTCACGTTCAAGGTGTAAGGTCCCTTGTTTTTAACAAATAGACGTCGTTGTTTTTTTAAAAATCACATGATTCTACAGTCATGTTGTCTATATTATATTCCTTCACTTTATCATTTTTGGAATTCCACTCCGTCAAGAATAGATAGGGACCCCCTATTGAATCGAAAAAGCTAAATTCCGATTTCTTAGCCGCCTCGATGCATTCGGTTTTAGATTTGTACAAAACTCTGGAAGTCGCTAGGGTAATCACACTCTGTTTGAAAAATCCTCTGAATTGCCAGCGAAAACCTCCCGACAAACATGGTTTAATCATTTGCATAAAACTACAGGTTTGATTGTACCTAGTGTGTTCAACGAATGGGTTGTCTCCGGGGTTCCAAGACTTCAATATTAAGTTGCATCTAAAACATTTTACGCGATCGTAAGGTCCAATATAGATAAAGCCAGCCTTGCTCAAATTATGAGGTGACGGCTGCTTATGCATCCAGCAATTATCAAAGGTGGCCAGACGATCGTTATAGAGTATATAAGGATCCATCTTACTATACCATTTAAAAACCCAACACCTAGATCTAAAAAAAAAAAAAAAAAAAAAAAAATTGTTACAGTCATGTACTTTTGATTATTATTAAAACAAATTTTCTGCTTTCTTAGAATGGATGCGTTTGAAACCTACACACACACTCAATGGGGCGAAATACTACAGATTACAGACGAATTTGAATATTGGACGGCAAGTCAAACCTTGGCCGTTAACGAAGCTCTAGACCACGTCGAGAATGAAAATCATAATGAAACACAGGGGGTTAAGCGGCAACTGTCTGACCCTGACACCGTGGATGCCTCTGAAGAAGAAGAAAGGTTAGAAAAAAACCCCCGACCGGTGGTTAGCCCGATATTATTTTCAGATGACGATAGCGACTTTGACACGTCGCAGGTGAGCAAAAAAACTTTACACGATATTCAAAATAATGTGAAACCTAATTCGTCTACAGAAAGTGAAAAGATCGATCCGCTAATTGCACTATTAACGAGTGACATAACATTGCCTTCTAATATCCAATCTTTAGTGGCTAAGGTTTGTGACGAAAAAGACGACGAAGTCGTCGACATTTTTGATTTGTTAACACCACCGGATTTGTTTTTTTAAATACCATACCAAACCCAATCTCCATTTTTTTTTTTTTTTTAAAGATTTGTCAAGTGGGGAGAGGTGGCGAAGATTTAGTAAGGCTGATTTCGGTGGAGCGCCGTTTTTCAAGAAAGTTTAATATCCATTCCGAATTAATGAGAATCGAAATTATAAACACGGAGGCGGTTACCACTCCTGACTGGCTAGAGCGGCTATTCACTCAGATATTAGAGACCGTCAGAGAAAATTTCAATGTTCAGCCAAACGAGAGGGTAAGAATACAACTAAATCATCCTGATTTGGACAACCCCATATATATTGCGTTTAGACCTTACGAAGAACTAACTTTGGAATTAATCTTGGAAGAGATTGCGAAAGTTATGCAGTCAAAAAAAACACTAGTTATTGACAATCAAACTTCTATATCCGTAACCTATGTAGCCTCTAAAGAGGGCGGTGCTTTTACAAATACGGTTCTTTTGAACGAGGCTTTTATGAGTTCAAAAAAACGAACATTTATATCACCAGTTGCCAACTATGGTTATCAAACCTGTTTCGGACAATCTATCGTCCTGGGTATAAATGAAATTTCTTATCGTAAGAAAATTTCACCGACAGTCGAAGAAACTAAACATTACAAACGTGTAGCAAACAAACGTAAGAAAAAACCGTTACAGATTGCTATGGCTATGGAAATGTATCAAGAGTACGGGGTTAACCCGTTAGTACCTACAGGTCGTCCTGAATGGTGCATATTCCAAGAACACTTAAAAGCTAAATATCAAATTGTCATCTATGATGCACAGAGTGCAAATTGTGTCATATTCAGAGGTGTTGCGGATCCCAATGTACCCGTTTTAAGACTGTATTTAATGGAAAAACATTTTTATTATATAAAGAAAATCAACAGCTTATTTAATCAAGCATTCTATTGTCCAGCGTGTGAAAAACCATATTCGCATAAGAATAAACATGGGTGTAAAGCGACATGTCCCAGTTGCCGTCAGGTAGATTCTTGTCCTAGGGATCGACCACGAATACAATGCGAACTTTGCCACCGTTATTTTAGAGGGTTGAAATGTTTGGAGAGACATAACCAAAATGTCCCACTATACACCGTGACGACGTGTGTGAAATATAGGGCCTGTTTAAAGTGTTATGCGACAATAGACACACACGAAGATGACGCAATGAATAAACACACATGCGATGTGCACAAATGTCGTAATTGTGAGCAGCTGTGTAAACCTAACCATAGGTGTTATATGAAACGATTATCGGAGGATGTTGAAGTTGAGACCATCAGATATTTTGTTTTTTACGACTTTGAGACTATTTTGGATGAAAATAATATCCATGTAGCGATTTTATGCGTTGCACACCGCGTGTGTCCTTTATGTTTGGAGAAAGACATTAACGAACCTTGTGACGGTTGTAACTTAAAGAACGCTCAGAGAGAATGGATTTTTTATGGTAAATATTGCGTCTCTGAGTTTTGTCGCTGGATAGTTCAGACCGAAATAAATGTCGACCTCAAGGGTAAAAAAACTACCGTTCTAACTCACCGACACTCGAGGTTCATAGCACATAATAGTCAGGCTTTCGATGCTCTATTTGTATTGAGATATTTCGTCATACATACTAGAATTCTACCTCAAATCATCGCAAACGGGTCTAAAATCCTTTGTATGACTATAAACAATAATATACGTTTTTTAGACAGCCTGGCGTTTATGCATATGAAACTTACAGATTTTAGCAAAACATTTGATTTACCGATTACGAAGGGTATATTTCCGTATTCATTCCTTAAACCTGAAAATTTGGAATACAATGGTGAAATGCCACCGATAAGCTTTTACGAAACGTCAACTATGTCTCCGCAGGAACGTGATAAGGTTATTAAATGGTATAATGAACGCGTGTTACAAAACAATTATTTTGACACTAAAACAGAATTGACAAACTATTGTGTAAGCGATGTAATTCTCCTCAGGCTGGCATGCGCTCGGTTTCGTAGGCTTTTCATAGAGCTGACCAAAATCTCGCCCTTTCAAAAGGCTATTACGATTGCGTCCTTGTGTAACCTTGTCTACCGGAGAAAATTCTTACCTCCCTTTACGATTGCTATAGCACCCCAGGGTCAGTATGTAGTCGCCCGTCAGTATTCAAATTCAAGTATACGTTACATGCAATATCTGGAATACATTGAAAACCGTCATATACAACATGCCCGTAACGGTGGTGAAAAGGTCATTTTCAATATGTATGTAGATGGTTGGTATATGGAAAATAATACCGAAGTGTGTATCGAATACTTGGGTTGCGTTTTCCACGG